TTGTGAAGGAAAGGATAGAGAGGGGCTGCTGAGTAAAGAAAAGGGTAACCGGGAAATCTGAACAAAAGGAAACACCAGAAGAAGGGAACCTCAGGCAGTGACGGGGAAAAGAGCTTCGGTAGTAGCGACGGAAAGAAAAAGAAAAACACAGAGCGGCCGCAACCTCGGAGGATCCTATCGTCGACATTGGCTGAAGTGGTGGCGCTGTTCTTGCTGTTGCCGCTCTCCTTCTACCGCCGTAGACTCAGCCACCACACTTCACCCCCAAAGCCCACTGGCGCACCTTCGAAAATTTAGCAGAAACCACCTGAGCCCTTTCTTTAGTCATCCCACGCCTCATTATGGGTTTAAGGTAAGACCCTTGCTTTTTATGGTAGAAAGCTGTTTTCTTTAGTTGTTATTGCTTTCGTTTTGCTGTATAGTGGTTCTGTCTTCACTTCCATGATTGGTTGATGGTTCTTCGCTGATAAAGTTATGATATTTGGAGGTTATCAATAGGTCTCATTTGAATTACTGCGTGATCATGTTTTGGCCGAACGAAAATTGCAGAAAGTTTACAGCTTTGATTGTTACTGTGCTTAGAATCTTTTAGCACATATAAATCTAGAGTTGGGTTCAGTTTGGACTCGGTTTTGAGGGACAGAAACCCAGAATTTTTCTTTGTGACTGGTTACTTTCATTTCGCTGTCTTTCATGTCAGATTAATGCTTGGCATGTGTTTGTTATAGATGATCATTGAAAACTCAGATTTAAGTCTCCCTGATTCGCATGACCTTTACTCCTGTTTGCATTGACGTCTATCATCAGGTGGATGATGGTTTCATCATATTAGCTACTGGCCCTTCAAGTGCATGAGAAAGGGGATTTTTCGCTGTTTCCTTGCACTTCATTTGCATTTTCGCAGTCCGAATCTATCTTGTTCTTGTAATGCCCCATCTAACACTTTTAGATTCATGTCCGTTTCTGCATTTGAAGAAGTGAATTTGATTCCTGTCTGGCTCAGATATTGCAGCAATATATACAGAACCTTTTCTTTCCTTGTTTTTTTTCTGGTTGAGTCTTAGTAGATGTTCAAGTCACATTGGCTGCGTTTGTGATTGGAAGTTGTTGAGGTTCCAAAGCTTCACGAACTTATCACTCTTTTTGTGACCTATTCTCATTTGCTGTTTGGATTGTGTTGTCCATGTGACAGTTAAGAACATAATAAAAGATGGATTGCTGCAATACTGTGAATTCATTGTGACTATCTGCATTAAAAAGGAAAAGGACTCCCGTTGCTCTAAATGAAGTTTTGGGCTGGATTCCTTTGCTGCATTTTGCTGCTTTGTCGTTGTTCTTTGGCTCGGTTTTTATCCGAGAGATTCAGCAAAGCTGAACAACCATGTTTGAGTTGAGAGTTTGTGGAGTTACATGAGTTTGGGTTGATAAACAATGAGTGTTGGGCAATGTTTTGATGAATTTGATTCGAAGTCTTTTGCCGAAAGCTTCATGAGTTTGTGAAACTTTATTGCAGAATGTTTTCTTACGTCCTTGCATGAAATAACTTTCTAAAATTGTACTTTGGCCCCCCAAGTCTCTCTTGGTTCCACTATGACCCAACTAATTGAATATTTTCATCAATTTGATCCTTCGCAGCTTTGATTTTTGCAACTTCATTGCTTGTTTGCTTTAATTAATTAATTACCATATTTTGTTTAATTGCATTTAATTCGTGATTTTAAGAGCTTTATGACCAAGTGAGCTCGTGTTTTGCATATTTTCTTTAACGCTCTTAATTAAATTGGTACCCTAACCATTTTATTATTGTCGCGCCCCACTTTTTGATGATGTGTTGTGTGAGTAGTGTGGAATATGTGAACGTGTGTAAATGAAAATAAAAGGCCATGGGACTTAAAAATGCGACGATTTGGCCAAACGAAGTTTTTAAAAAAAGGGTTTTTGAATGAAAAATGGAGTCGCCACTTGGTATAGAGTTAGGGTGTACCAAGTCACCCAAAAAGTGATTTTTCCTAAAGGAAAGGTAGAAAGAAACCCCTTTTAAACGACTCCTAGTCCACGTAAACCAACGAAAAAGGTTCGGGAGTCACATTTGACGAAGGGGAAGGCAAGGATAAAAATCCAAGGCACCCCTTCGACCTAGCCAAGGCTAGTTGCGTGACTTAACCTACATTTCCTAATTTTTCTACCCAAGGTATGTATCGCATGTTGGATATGTCTATATGAATGCAAAAACCTAGACCTAAGGGGACATGGGGGAAATTTCTCTTCAAAGGTTGAGTGGTGTCAATCACATTAATTGTGAAGCCCAATAATGATCCTTTGGAGAGGTCACACATAATCCTAAATGACGTAAAAATGAGTGGAATGCATGCCATGTGAAAATATGAGTTTGTGTGAAGTGAGAAAAATGATAAAAATAATAGGATGTAAGTGGAGGTGTGCAAATGTCTTTACAAGGTAAGGTGAGTAAAGAATGATAATGTGAAAATAACATAAAGTGCATGTGTGCGAGTGATATGGTATAAAGTGTGAGTAGTTAAGTGCAAACGTCCAAAAGTAGTGTGAAGTGAGAATGTGGAAAAAAGGATAGAATATAAAGTAGAAGTGTATAGGATAGCGAATAAATGAAATGCATGAATCCTATAGGAATGCATCAAGACGGGAACGGGGAGTCCTAACTTTGTGACTTTAATCTTCCCTTTGACTAGAAGGGGGGAACTAGCGTGCTAAGGCTATTTGTGGACCCACACTCGCTCGTTTTCCTTGTCGAAAGGGGACTCTCAAGCAAATGAACCCTATAACTAGCATGAGGTGCAAAAAATCTTAGAATGAGGGGAAAAGGGGTTCGAGGAGCATGCTAAATGATAAAACTAAGAAAAATGCATGACATGTAGTAAACATGCAAATATGCACTATCGAAAGGGACGGCCTATTGGGTCTAGCGTTGGACTAGCCCTTTCTATGAATTCCTACTAGCATTGGACTAGTGGAAACGGAACAAAGAACCACAACTAGCGTTGGACTAGTGTGGTGACGGGAAAGGGGGCCACAACTAGCATTGGACTAGTGTGGTGACGTCCATTCATCCATCACATTCATTCATGACTATAAAAAACGAGTAGACATGCAAATCACTTATAAACACGTAGCACATAACACTTAGCATGCTCGACTAGATGCAAGAGCCTAATAAAGCACTTAACACATAACACATAGGCATGCAACCAAGCTGATGAACCTATTACATTTGCTAACTAAAACAAAAGGAGAAAGGGAAAATGGACCAAATTGCTCGCCAAACCCTATCTATTACAAGCCAAGAGGTGTACACATACCCCATAATGAATAACTTAAATAAAAAGTAAAAAGTAAATGAAATAAATGCAAGGAATTAAAGAAAGGCAAGGAAAACGAAGTAGACATGCATATTCACATAACACGTATGAGCACGTAGGGTCAAATGAAGTGCAAATGAGGGATAGAGTATACCTCCCTTGAATTGACGCCTTAACGGAGTGAAATCACTTATTTATCCTCCAAAATAAAAGAAATGGTCAAGGTACCAATTTATTTGGGAAAATTAAAGAAAATAGGCAAACACAAGGTCACTTGGTCATAAAGCCCCTAAAGTCATGAATTAAATGCAATTGAAACAAAGCATAGTAATTAATTAAAACAAACAAGCAATGAAGTTGTAGAATTAAAATTGTCAAGGACCAAATTGAGGAAATTATTCAATTGGTTGGGTCATAGTGAAACAAAGGGGACTTGGGGGGTCAAAGTGCTAAATTCCAGAAAGCTTTTCATACAAAAGCATGCACGGTTATGAAGCTTATGCTTCTGCAACTTCCAGCCAACATTTTTCTGCAATTTTTGTATTCATTCTAATGCCATTTTCCCTCCAAACCAAGCTAACATTTTTAACCCAAACATCAAAGCCTCGATTCCAGAACAACAACATCACAACACTCAGCATCCAAAGCATCCAAAACAGACCAAGAGAGAAAAGAGAGGCGTATGAATGGGAGCAGGCAACGGCAATGCATCAGTTTTTTCTGAAGATGCGCACAGGCCATCTAAAAAGGATGAAATGTGCGCTGCATATTGAACAAAAGAGAACAACAACCACTGGACAATTACGACATCTGGAATATACATTTGTCTCTCCCTCACTACAAGTGCAACCATAAAAAACAGCAAAAGCAACGTGAGGACTTGCGGCAAACCGAAATTTATTTTCCAGCAGGCATCGAATCATGACTCAAGCTAGCCTCAAATTAATACTTGAATGGTTTTGTGTTAACAAGGCTTGAGGAACCGCAGGTTCCTGTTAAATATTCTGGTGAAACTTTTGCAAACCAAACAAGCAAAAGAAGAAAAGAAAAACTCAGAAAGGATAGCATGCAAATCTGGAAATTTCTGCAACCTTCAACCGTGGCATTCTTTCATTTTGTCATGCAAACAAGTCCCAACGAATATCAAAATTTCGAGTCAAAACGAACGAACAAAACAAATCTCAATCATCATCTAAACCAAATACTACGTTTTGCTGCAGGATTAAAACAGAAAATTTGAATTAACCGACATGAAAAAAAACGCAGCAAGGCTCACGGACATAAAATGCAGCAAAATGGAAAGAAAGAAAAACTGCAAATGACTAAACCAACAAATGACAAAGAGAGGGACTATAAAACTAGTTCAGAAGAGTACCTGATGAAGCCTTTTGGATCAAAATCAGGTCAGGACGCCATGAAAGAGCGGCCGAAGCTATCCCGTTACGGCTCCGAAACCGCACCAGCAAAATCAAGCAGCAATCTTTGGGGGCGAATTCAAAGGCTCATTCGATGTTTTCTGCCAACAAATTCTGAACGAAACCTTCTCCCCTTACTTCCTAGTTAGTGCAGAACTTGAGAGTTACTTAAAATAACCAGAGATCAAAGAGAAATTTGATCTGAAACATGGCTCATAATCAGCCTTTGGTCAGAAAAATTGCAGCTTTATCATTTCCTTTTCAGTTTGTTCGTAGCCTTCTTCTCCTCCGTCCGTTGCTCATTTCCTCCTTGAACAGGTCCTTCATCTGGGTCAGTGATATCGATGGCCTTGGTATGGCCATCACCACCTTGCTCCACTTCAAACTTGACGATTTCATACTTGCCCAGACTGCGAAACCCGCCACTGCCGGCCTTAATCCCAGAGTGGTGGACGAACAAAGATTTGCCATCGTCAGTAGGAGTGATGAATCCAGGGCCTTTCTGGTCATTGAACCACTTGATATGGCCCTTTGCTCTCTCGTTTTGCCTCTGCTCACCACCCTCTTTCAGCAGCCATTTTCTTCCTTCAAACCCACCACCAACCCGTTGCCTTTCTTTTTCCTTTCTTCTCTTCTCCCAGAATCTCTCCCTCGCTCTCGGCCCTTTTCTCTTTCCCCAGCCGTGGCCTTTCACTCTAGTTACCCTTCTTCCTCTCGAAGCTCTTCTGCCAAAAACCCAGCCGCTCTCTCTCTATTTTTTTTCCAGCTGTCTCACGCACACCTTTCTCCTTCGTTGCCCCCCCTAGCCGTTCCTCTCTGCTTAGCTCTTTCATCCCTGTCTGCCCTCTCACTCAAACCCCCCCAGTTTTTGCAGCCGTCCTCCTGATCCTTTCCTTTTCGTTTCCCCCGCTAAAACTCTCCCTTGCGGCTACTACCCAATGCAACTCACCTCTCTCAAACCCTTCATCCTACGGCCCCAATTCTCCTGTCCTTCTTCTTTTTATTTCCACCCTCCACCTATCCTCTTCTAGAACTCTCTAGGGCCGAAACATTCATCCCTTAAATTGCCCTTAAGGCCTTGCTGCAACTTCTCTTTGCAAGCTGCGGACGAACGCAGCTTGCATGCAATAATAGATTCTTTTTTTTTTTTTTTAAAGCAATGTATCAAAACCGATAATAATAAAATTTAGTAAAAGAAAAACAACAACTTAATTAACATGAATAAATAAACTAGAAATAACAGACACAAAGTTGCGATTTTTCATTTTTCTTTTATTTTCATTTTTAAATAATGAAACTAAAATCTAAAACAACAAAAACATATTTTTTGAACGCTTTTCTTTTTCTTTGAGAAATTCTACACTAAAATGGCTAAAATAACTAAAAAGCTAAAAGTAAATAAAACTAACGTGACAAATAAAAATAAAATAGAAAAATAAAAAAATAAATAGTAAATAAATCAATAATAAAACATCAAAAATTTGGTGTCTACAGTTTGCCTCTCTTTGTTTGAGTTTTGAAAAAACTTGAGACAAAGAAATAGACACCAAATATTTACCTGTGTTATTAGGCTGCAGCTGCTCGAATGACTGTCGTTATTGAAATGAGGACTGACTTCAACATGAAATTTAAATCAGAACTGACCCGAACAGGAATTTAAAATCATGAACTGCTCACTAGTGGGACTGACCCACAGCTAGTGGAGAGGCAAAAGGAAATGCTCACTAGTGTGACTGACCCACGGCTAGTGGCTAAGCAAACGAAATGCTCACTAGTGGGATTGACCCACGGCTAGTGGCTATGTAAACTAAAATGCGCACTAGTGGGACTGACCCACGGTTAGTGGCGATGAAAATAAAATGCTTACTGGCGGGACTAACCCATGTTCCAGTATCGATGTAAATGAAATACCTTTACAATCGGACAGTGGGATTAAACTCGAGCCTGCCGTAGATAGAAGTGGTCAGTGGGATAAAACCCGAGCCTGCCGAAGATAAAAAGCGGTCAGTGGGATAAAATCCGAGCCTGCCGAAGATAAAAAGCGGTCAGTGGGATAAAACCCGAGCCTGTCGAAGATAAAAAGTGGTCAGTGGGATAAAACTCGAGCCTGCCGAAGATAAAAGGGGTCAGTGGGATAAAACCCGAGCCTGCCGAAGATAAAAAAGATAAAACCCGAAAGGCGGTCAGTGGGATAAAACCCGAGCCTGCCGAAGATAAAAAGCGGTCAGTGGGATAAAATCCGAGCCTGCCGAAGATAAAAAGCTGTCAGTGGGATAAAACCCGAGCCTGCCGAAGATAAAAAGCGGTCAGTGGGATAAAACCCGAGCCTGCCGAAGATAAAAAGCGGTCAGTGGGGTAAAATCCGAGCCTGCCGAAGATAAAAAGTGATCAGTGGGATAAAATCCGAGCCTGCCGAAGATAAAAAGTGGTCCGATGTTGGCGGGATAAAACCCAGCTCCAACGTGATAAACGGTCAGCGGGATAGAACCCAGTTCTGCCGAAGATAAAAAGCGGTCAGTGGGATAAAACCCGAGCCTGCCGAAGATAAAAGTGGTCAATGGGATAAAACCCGAGCCTGCCGAAGATAAAAAGCGGTCAGTGGGATAAAATCCGGTTCTGCCGAGGTTAAATAAAACACACACGTTAGTGAGATAGACTCGATGCTAACGGCGGTAGGATGAAAACGCGCACGTTAGTGAGATAGACTCGATGCTAACGGCGGTAGAAGTCAGTGAATTACATATGGTTGTCAAGAAAAGAGGTAGAAGGGTGTGCGGCGGGCGCTGAGACTTGCCAACAAGAATTCAATGTGATTTTTCAAAAAACAAGAAATTGAATTCGATTTTTCCAGAAACCCTGATTGAGAGAATCTTGTCAAAATAATTTGCCCCAATTTCCACCAATTTGTGCAACCGATCAATTGATTTGCATTACGGCATGGTTGCTCCTCCTCGAGGCCTCGATTCGTAAGATTCTGGCCTACACTTCTCCATTGATTTCAGCCATGGATACCTGCACAGGGGGTTTACCCAAATATGACATGCACTTAAATTTTATGAAAAGGGCAGAGAGATTGATTCAAAAGTGCGTTACTTGACTCTTGGTCGTGAACTTCAAATGTATTGCAAAAATTTGCCCTAGTATGGGCTTACTTCACGAAATCCCAAAAATTTGCCCCAGTATGGGCCTATTTTGCAAAAATCTTCTTAAATGAAAATTTGCCCCAGTGTGGGCCCATTTAATTGCAAAAAATTTGCTTGGATGACTCTACATTTATTTGAACAAAGAGAAACCGCACTTTCTAAAATTTAGAAAATAATCATATATACAATGTGAAGAAACTTAAACATCAAGTTTGAACTCATGCAGAAATTTCATGATGAATCCATCAAAATAACACCAAATTCAAGAAGATTTCTTCCTTACTTTTAGCATTGGTGCTTAGGGTAATAGGTCACCACTTCTTGCTGACTCATCTTTCAGGACCAATCAAGTGGACGTCATTTCTGATTTGGAAGTGGCTAAAAGGAATGGGAGGTCAAGATTTGCCTCATTTTTGTGCCCTAATTGTATGTAAGTCATTCAATATCACATCTTAGCGAAAGCAAATAGTTTGTTGCCCTCATTTGTTAAGAAAACTTAGTCAACACATAAGCTTTAAGCTTGCAACGTGTGGACAGAAATGATAGCTAAACATGTGGAAACAGTATATAGCCTCACAAATGGTTGATGGATTTCTCAGAAACATAATCTTCACTTCGAGTTGTCATGAAGGATAAGTCAACGATGGAGTTTATGAGCTTGTAATGTGGCTTGAAAACGATAGTTAAAAATAAGACTTCCAAGGAAATTGCACCAAAGATCACATTTTCTCAAAATTGCCCCTATTTTGAACTCAAAGATCTCAGACTTTGTTTGGCTTTTTCTCATCCTTCACCAGGGACTTCGGCATTGAATTTTTCTGCATTTTCTTACATTTACTTTTCTTTTGCTTCTTTTCTTCCCTTTTTTCCATTTTTCAAAGATGCCCTCGCGGGTTTTCACATGAAGAGCAGTGCCAACCTCACACCCAAGCAATTCAGAAATACAGCTAAAATTTTCCGGCAACAGAAATTTTCTTGACAGGGCCATTGCAAAGAACAGAAGTCAGGACTTTCGACTTTTGTAATGGGGTCAGGTGGGGTGCTTAGAAAAGTTAAGGCTTGAAGGCAGATTTCAAAAGTGGTTTAAGCAATCTGAGATCGCATTGTTGTGCCAACCCTATTTTAGGGTTAAATCAAGAATTTGCCCCAGTTTATGTTCAATTGAGGCTCTTTTCATCTATTCTTTTTTTTCGATTGATTTTCCTTTTGGCCTTTTGCCATTCTTGGGAACTTTTTCAAAGATTTGCCCCAGTTTATGCTTAACCGAGGTTCTTTTTTTTCCTTTTGATCACTTTTCGCCTCTTGGGACTTTTCTTTCTTTTTCAAACTTGCCCCAGTATGGGGTTTGCGATTCTCAGGGGTTACCAAACGAAATAATTCATTCTGAAGGCTCAAAAGGGATAACTAGGGATAGAATGTCCGATTGGAAAAGAAGAGGGCCTGACTTTTATCCTGTTCCTTACATGAATTCTGAAAGAAAAATTTTCATTAATGCGAAATCTTTGCGTGCATCTGAATCAATTAACCGAGGATGACTTCCGTTCGTCCATATCTGTGAAACATGGAAAATCCGCCGGACAACCATTCTTTCTTTTTCTCACTTTTCTTTTTTCTTTCTTTCTTTTTTCCAAAATGGAAGCCCAAATAGAATCAAAATTCCCCAATTTGCAATTCACTCTTTTCTTTTAATTTTAGCTTTTTCTTCTTTTGAAAAATTCTCCAATCTCCTTCCCCAATGTGGGGTGCGATCATATGTGCACTCGAAAAGAACCACCAATTTTAGCTCAGATGAGGTTGCAAGGGATGATCAGTGTTTAGGTTGTAGAAACGACGGCCAAAGCATCATTCTTACACCTCATGACAACCAAGTAAACGAATTGCTCGTTGAGAATCCATTCCCTTTTGAAAATCTTCCCAATGTAGGGTAGTGATCATTAAGACCCTTATTTGAAACGAAATTATTCTTTTAGAGGCTCAAATGGGAGAGCAAATGATAAAATCTGTATAGGCAGTGAAACGAATGCTCGAGGTGTCATTCCAAATTTTCAAAACAAACAAGAATAACGCACATTTTTGCTTTCACTTAGATGTGATTGCACCAGATTAGACACCTTGAACATTTTCAAGCAAAAGTTGCTCCAATTTATCAATCAATGTGACTGATTTTATTTTGGGATTAAGTGAAGGAGAAAGGTATCTCATGGGCCTTCTGAGTGACCTCTTTTAATTTTTGAACACTCTTATTGTGTAACTCGGATCACCAATCTAGTGTACACAAGAATTTTTGAAAGCAGACACTTGTGAATTTTCAGGCCAGAGGTCGAAAAAAAATCTCAATTTGATCTTATTTCTAAAAATTCATCATGAAATCCCCAATGAGCAAAAGAATGAAATGTACATGAATATACACAAAACAATAATTGTCCAAAACTTTATTACTAACAAGATTAAAACAAAATTTGTCGTTCAATTATAATACAATGAGAAGAGAGAAACTTGTAAAGAGCTCCACATATTCACTTTTCATCTCATTTTCTTTTGGAACAAAATGTATTAACAAATCAAATAAACAGAATTTTCCTTTGAAAAATAATTACAAAATCTCTCAGAGGCTTTAGCGTAGAGCTTTCAGATAGATCATTTATGTTTTCATTGTAGGATCTGCCCAAGAATCACACAATACTTGCAAT